TATGACCTGCACACAGATTAAAGACAGATGCAATAGTCATAAACATGCACGCAAGCACACACACACACACACACACACACACACACACACACACACACACACACACACACACACACACACACACACACACACACACACACACACACATACACACAAACGTATTAACAATTGTGTAGCTATAGGATCCAGGCCCCTATGGTGACCTTTGATCTCTAATTCTTGTTTTTAAAAGTTGACCCTTAATGCTGTCCACGAGTTATTCACAATTCTGCTGCGAGATATTCCTGTGAGTGTGTACGCACATGAGAGAGAGAGTACAGGTGTGAGAGCTGTCTGCTTTCGTTTTTTTTAAGTTTTATTCTTTCCTGCTGGGATCTCTGGAGCATGAGGCTGAGGGAAAACAAAGCAGGAAGGCAGACAGTGATTGAGTTAGCAAGCAAGTGATAGTTTTTCTCTCTGTCTTTCTGACAGCTGGAAGCCTGGAGATGAGTCGGTGTATATCACTGTGTCGCTTTTTATAGTTTTAGCCAGTAATGCCTCACTTTGTGAGAGGGATGGATTGACAGGTTTGACAAAAGGGGCATATTTGTTGGTTGTTTACACTAAAGCCATGATATATAATAATTCAACATTAGCTTTGCCCTCCACCACTGGCTTTCTGGGGTTGCTGATAAGCAGTGTTGGGACTAACGCGTTGCACAGTAACACGTTACTGTAACGCAACTACTTTTTGCAGTAACTAATAGCGTTACTAGTTACCTATTCCCATTAAGTAACGCCGTTATAGTTACTGTGATTTAAATGGGTGCGTTACTGCGTTACATTATGTGATGGAACTGAACCGAATCTCCCTGCGGATGTAACTTACAGGCGAATACAGCGATGTTCTCTCACAGCACCATGGAAAAAGTGAAAGTAACCAGAGAGGAGTGATGATTGGTTAACGCGGGGTAACATTTCAGGGTAAGCCAATCAGAGACAGAGTTGGGCGAGTCTTGCCTTATGGGGAAAATACACACACAAACAATAGGCTTGTTTGAGACGCGTTGCGGCTCGCCTCGAAAGTAGACGAGAATAGCCGATCGCAGCCGGGGGAGGTCTCAAAAAGCTCGCCTGAAGTCGGACATCTCCGAGTCGGCTTCTTCTTCTTCGCCTTCTTCTTTGCCTTCTTCTTCTTCTTCTCTCGGTTTTTTGGCGGATTGCAAACAACTTTAAGGTGCATACCGCCACCTCCGGAGCCGGCTTGACTCGGTTTGCATTTATAAAGAATGCACAAATGTGTTTAATCGTTAATGTCAGATATGTAATAAGTAAATACATGTGTTCCTGCTCAAGATTAGATTCAACTTTATTGTTATTGCACATATTTACCCAGGTACTGAGCAACGAAATGCAGTTTAGCTTCTAACCAGGGAGTGCAACAGCAGTTAAAGTGAAAAGTAATTTACACAATCTACAGAATAAAAGATAGAATGAATTGATGATGGAACTAAACAGTGAGGGGTCATGAATTACCTGTAATCGTTCCACAGATGGAGTCGGAACAGGCTTCAGGTTATTAGGCTTTAATAACTCTTATTTTCTAGATGATCCACAGTTACAGGGATAGCTTGTGGTTCTCACCTCACACACCTCTCTCTCCACTCACACACACCACACTCCTATTTATAACCCAGACTTACGTCACAACTTCCCGCCCTCTCCCCCGTCTGCTCCCCCAACCACAGGCCCGCCCCTTAGACCAGCATCCTGTGCAGCTCTGTGATTGGCCAGAGAGACGGGGGATGCCTGGAGTGCACCCTCAGCATCCTATCAGGTCGTCTACACTACCCCCCCCACCACCAAAGTTCCTCGCCCACGAGGAACAAACAAACCCCATGCAACACCATACAACTACACACTGAACTTTAACTAGGGAAGGTCTGGGTGGACTACCATCCCTTCCAGTGAGACCAGGGCGGCATTCTTTGCCCTCTACCGTAAACAAGGGTTTCACTAAAACACTTTACGCAGACACACAAAGTCTCTGAACGGACCAGAGGGGGTCGGTGACTGCCTTCTCGGCAGGGGGGAATGGTGTGGCCAGTCCCGGGCCCAGGCGGTGGTGAACAGTGAAAGAAAATGGGGGACACTCAGTCTCCTTGAGGAGCCACTGCTGCCTCCGCTCGCCGGTGGGGACCTGAGTGAGGATGTTGCAGGGTCCGGCTGTGGGCCCCGGTGTTCCTGGGGCCTGTGGGGAAAGGCGACTCCTCTGGTGATCCAGCCAACCTGGGTCTCTGTGGAGAACCACTTTCTCCACTTGATGGCAGCTGCACCCGTGTAAACCAGCTTCCCCCACCCTCTCCAGTACTCTGCACGGACCCAACCCAATAGCTGTCAGTTTTGGCACACCAGCCTTTCTCTTCGTTTGGGGCTGTAGACCCAAACCAGCTCCTCCCTGCATGGAGAATGCTGCCGCTCTTTGTTCGGGTGTAGATTCCGCTTTTGTCTCACCCCATGACTTTTCTGCTGATCTCGGGCATAAGGCCGTGAGCAGAATCAAGGCACTGAGTCCTGAAGTCTCCGGCATGCATACTCAGGCATCCCAGAAGGACCTGTCCAGGGAATCTGGTTGGGTTGACCAAACGCCAAAAAGCAGCCGGTGTGTTCGCAGCTCTCTCCCCAACATGAGGAGGCAGGGAACAGGATGAGGACTCCTGGACTCAGAGCGACATGCCCATGAGCCACCAGGGTGCAGCGCATGTCGTCCCATCCGCTGATGCTGAGATGTGAGGATGGCCAGCTGTGTCCCATGGCGCGATGGAATCTCTCGACTTTCCGGGTCGCTCTTGAGGTCGCAAGGGGAGGTGCGGCGCCTGTTTTGTGCTATGCCCAGTTGTGTGCCACATGACAAACACCCGGGACTCTAATATTTCTCCCCTGGTCACTGTGCAGTTCCGTACTCCAAACGGCTGAACATGCCCACCAAGCTCCACTCTGTCTGCTTCTGTGATCCAGGCGACGGCATACGCCTCTTGCCTTGTGAAATGTCTATGGCCGTGAGCAGCGAGCGTTACCCTGTTCACCAAAGGCAGAGGACCCACACTCAACCGCTACTCTCTGCCATCGAGCCCCACTGGGGAAACTGTTGCATGGGAGCATGGGACGACCAGGGGACCTCCGAGCCATACACGGGTCACACGGCGACAGATCTTCGACATCCCT